ATCGAGGGCCGTTGTAAGAGGCACTTTTTTTAATTCCCTCCCCCCCCCCATCGCCCTTGCAAGACGCTTGGACAGACTCTCCTTTTTCTTTAAACAAAACTTCTCTAATTATGGGGGGGGGGGGGGGGGGGCAAGGAAAAGAGTGTACCGGAGCACTTAATGGTTTATCATGGGGCTGAGCATGATTCAGCCTTTGGGAGGCGTCAAGAAAGGAGAAGAGAGAAAAAAGAAAAGGGAAGGAGAAATAAGGAGAAAAATTAAAGAGTTTTAAAGAAAAAAGGAGGAGCTATGAAGGCAAGAAGGAGGGGGCTAAAAGAAAAGGAGGAAAACAGGGGAAGAGAGAAGGAATAGGAGGCAAGAACATCGAAAACAGAGCCCGCGGGAAAAGGGGGGGGATAAAAAGAAACCAATGATAAATTAAAAGAGAGAATTAAATTTCCGTCTAAAAGGTTTTAATAATAGATGCGATTTTTATTACTAGGGGGAGATCTGGGAATCTATCAGGCTGGTTATCAAGACATTTTTTTTCGAGCAAAGCAATAAGTCCACGTATTCGTAAAAAGTACATCAAAATTACATTTTAGACCCTTTCGATGCGTTTTTGAAGTCGTTCTCTGTACAAAAAAACACTATTTTTTCCGCTGCAACGTTAAATTTTCGTTCTGATTAATTGAAAATTGTTCACTCCGCAACATCATAGGCACCTGTGTACACCCTTACTGAACGCACTATACTTCCGAGGATGTGGAAAATCGCGCACACTCCGACCCACAAATCCTCGGAACCACTCTATTAGCGAGGCTGTGTGTTTAATCTGTGTGTACGCGGCTCGCAGAATTTCCTTTCCCCGGACTATGACAAGAGTTAACCCTTCCTTTTCTTGACCTCACGGGGAGGTCACGAGAGACCTCACAGGGATGAAAGGGGGTGGGGGCTTAGAACCTCCAAACAATCCCTTGTCTCCGTAATCCGCAAGCCACACATAAATTTGTTTAAGAAATAGAACATATTTTTGGAAATCAAGGAAAGGGGCGTCTAAACCCACTCTTCAAAATGAACCCCCCAGAATTTTTTCATAAGAATGATTCCAAACTTTTAGCTTGATAAAGTTCGGTAATATTAATTACATGTTGCATGGTTTTTTTGATGATTTTATTTTCAATTCTTACGATCGATTCAGAACAGGAATCATTTTTTACACCAAAGGCGATGGGTCGTTGCAACGGCCAGTCAATCCCTGCTAAGTCACATTATTGAGGTCTTAATTTCGCGTGTTTGACCTTATTCCGTATTTTTTGGCAACACTGAGAAGACCACTGGAGCTTAAAAACACACGATAGTGACAGGAAATTTTACGATCTATTCAGAACAAGAATAATTTTTTACACCAAAGGCGATGGGTCGTTGCAACGGACAGTCAATCTCTGCTAAGGCTCAAATTTGAGCACTAAATTCTGGAAATCTGATTATGTTCTGTATTTTTGGTAACACTGGGAAAACTTCTTGAGCTTTTATTCAGATAATTTTGAAAGACAATTTTTCATAACTTGAATGATCATCAGATGCATTTTTAAGAAGCTAGGATAGGAGCATCTTAAAACCACTGAAATTGCTAAGTTCAGCCCAGTTTCAATTGACTGTTAATGAGCTAATCACCACAGCTGGGCAATTGTGTCAGAAAACTCTATCGAAAACAAATAATTTTTTTTTTGTAATGGGCCCAGGTTTCTGACTTGCAGGACTACCAACATCACTGTCGATAGCTAAAAACTTGATTATAAGTTTTGGTACTATGGTTATAAAATTTGGATAAAATTTGAGCCTAATTTTTAAGGAAATATTTACCTAATTGAGGGTAGCATACTTAAACACTTATACCCGAACCTACTCTTCTCCTTGAAAGTAAGGGAAAGTAGGAATTCACCTAATTATGAACTGAAAATATGCAGAATTGAGAAGCAAGTAACAGTTACTTTAAGCTTTTTTATTAGGAAAAAAAACATCAGAACACGAATAAAATTTAAAGTTACATGAAATAGAAATAGCCGAACTTTAATTAAAATATGATTCATGAAATAGAATAGGAAAGACCAGCTTTCCATAGTTCAGTTGTTTTTCTGGTACTTGAGCTAAGCGTTGTGCTTTATTGTAAAACATAGTTCGTTTGTAGTTTGTTTAATGGAGTTTTTGCATGCTTTGGGGATCTGAGCTTTGGTTTTCTCTTAACGAGCTCCCAAGCTTAAAAAAAAACTCTCGAAGTTGAGGCCACAATGGAGGGAATCCCCCATGCTATGCCTCCTCTACATCCAGTCAAACTCTCTATGCACCGGTAGGGAACAAATACATTATAGCAGTACTGCCATTGTCTTTGAGGACTCCAAGGCTAGAGCCACTGCAACCCTGCTAATGTATTCGCCCCCTATCTGTGCATGCCTGGATATAGTGGACAGAGACGGATCTAGCCATTTGGCAACACCGGATTTCCTCCATTTAAACCTATATTAAATAATCGATTCTTGTTGGAGCACCTGGCCCCTCCAAGAATCGATACATTTCCGTAGGTTTAAATGGAGAAAAGGCAATGTTACAATTTGCTAGATCCGCCAATGATAGTGGCGGACTCTCATAAAGTAGAGGACCCTCTCTATTACGGCCTCAACATTAGAAGATTTTCTTGAAATTGGGAGTTCCTTTCAGTGAGAACCAGAGGCAGCATTATGTTTCTTGCAAAAATTGTTCGTAGGAAACAGTCCTTACAGTGCAAATTGCCGTGCAACCAAATAGCTCTAATGTTTTCATTTCAGGAACCATGAGTCCATAATTTTGAGACACCATGGGTTTTTTCATTAATTCCGAAAATTGAACTCCATCAACAAAATACAGAATAAAACGAAGACAAAATATTTTCAGTTTTTCCATAAAAAATATTCAGTTTCTCAATGAACTATTATCACTAAGAGGACTTTACTGAGACCAACCACTAGTTGCAATAAAACATGAACAAATTGAATAAAATATGAGTAAAAAACTTTTAAAAAAACACATTCTCAATGTGCCAGGGTAACATTAAGAGTAGAATTAAAATGGTAGCATCTTTTATATGGTAAAATTACACATCAATGGTGAAATTACTGCCTTGTATGAGTAAAAAACTTTAAAAAAAAAGCACATTCTCAATGTGCCTGGGTAACATTAAGAGTAAAATTAAAATGGTAGCATCTTTAATAAGGTAAAATCACATATCAATGGTGAAATTACTGCCTTGTATCTTCATTTCAGTATTTTTTAAAAAAAAAAAAACACACACATTTAAGTTTAGTCCTTAAAAATGAACCCTCTTGTTTAAATTTTTAAAAAGATACTGCTTTTGTCACTTTCATGCAGAATTTACAGGGAATATCACTGAAAGAAGTAAATAGTGTCAATTTCGTTACAAGGTTCTGTGGTTTTGCTAGCAATATTTTCTGACAACTACTAAAATACTGGCACTGAGAAGACTGAATGTACTGAGGATCTGACAGCGCATACATTTAATTGCCCTTATCAGCTATTATATTTAAACAAATAATATTTAAAAAAATATATTTAAGAAAAAAAAAACTAACGATGAATCAATCTCTAAGATAAAACAATTATATGCATGAAAAGACTTATTCAGGAAAAATCAAGGAGTCAATTTAAGAGAGAATAATAACAAATGAGGCGTTTGTGGAACAAACAATAACCTTCCCCCACTCACACCCTGGAAAATGACTGAAAATTACCTTTTCAGAAAATATACGGTTTACTAATAAAATGTGATATAATAAAGGAGCTAGAGCTTGTTCACAGCACAGTAGTCATTCTGACTGAATTTCCCCGCCGAAAATCGTCTATTAAGGTGATTCGGCGGTTGCCATTTTTTGTGTTAGAGTGCCGTGCGATTCATTGCATCAATTCGTTCCATAATTTCAGCTATTTGTCATATTTTTCGAATTTTGAGATCGCACTTTTGTTGTCATGAGACTAGAGAATTCATATACCAAATTTGACAAGGAAATTCAACGTATTAAAGGCAGAGTTTTTTCAGAGGAAAAATATTGCATTCGATTCTGATATCGAAACTGCACTCGCATGCCATATTTTTTCTCTGAAAAAACCCTGCCTTTAATATGTTGAATTTCCTTGTCAAATTTGGTACATGAATTCATCAGTCTCATGACAACAGAAGTGCGATCTAAAATTTCGAAAAAAATGACAAATAGCTGAAATTATGGAATGAATTGATGCGATATATAGCACGTAGCTCTGACACAAAAAATGGCAACCGTCGAATCACCTTAAACAGCAGCAAAGTTGTTTGATGAATCTTCATAGTTGGAACTACTAATACCATTCACTTTAAAGGAATTTAAAGATGTGGCTCTCAGATTTCGAAGTTTGCTTAAGAAATAATGATGAAGATGCGGAGCAAAAAAGTGGACCCTACATCTGATCATCAGAAAAAATTAAAAAATAGCAGTGGATATTGATGATAAATTCGAGACTTAACAAAATTGCCAAGTTCCTCCTACACTGGAGGTTGAGCATAACGTAAGTCCGGTTACATCTTCAGATGCAACAATAGGGCGTATCCCTACTTGAAAGTTACAGAAAGTGAATAAATGTTGGGCGTGCTATTATTTAAGACACTTTTATGGAGATGAACTTCCACAAGTTTTAGAATATCAATGAGAAAATATTTAAAGATAATTTTCTAGTTTCTTGTGTGACCAAAGAGAATTTCAAAATCAGGCATTCTCTGACGAATTGAGAGACGAGAGATGTGGACTGCCGTGCTAAGAAAGAACACCATATGAGCCTTCAGACGTTGCCATATTTCATTCAAGAAAAACCAAATTTACTGGGAAAATTGTGAGTATTTTTCCTCAAATTTTTCAGTCAATTTTGTTCACGATTTAATCTAAAATATCTGAAAATTTCAAGGAAAAATAAGCATAACTTTTTCCATGAATACATGTTTTATTCGGGGAAATTTGGCGACTCTTGAATGTTCATACGGAGTTCTTCCTTAGCACGGCAGTGGAGTTGTTCGAATGTTACAAGATGACGGTCGACCTGGAGGAGTGGGGTTTTAAATGTTGAAAAATGTATACTGTAAATCTTAATGAAAAGTACTGATATAATAATGAGGTAATAATATTGTAAATAGAAACTTTGTCACAAATTCAAAGAAATATCAGCAACTAATGCAATCTTCTTTTTTTGACATAATATTGGAGATGCTCAAAACCAGGAGGTAATTTCGTTTTCCCCTCCATGTAATTTTGCACCTGAGCTTTCACCTGTCTCCACTCTCTGGATTGTAAACATGCGTACTTTCTCATGACTGGTAAACATTTGTTAACACCAGGAGGCTGTCCAATTCTGAAGCAATCTGCAAATGAATTTAACAAAATTGTCGCTTCCTCCAAAGTCCATCTTTTCCTTAATTTTATCTTGCCTTCTTCTGATCTCTGGACACGCATTGACGCATTAATGCTTTCTAAATCAATTAAGTTATCATCTGAAGTACTAGGGAAAGGAAGCTCATTTGGTTCCGCACCTACGTTTTGCTCAACCAATACAGGAGGAACTTGGCCAGGAGGAACTTGGCCAGGAGGAACTTGGCCAGGAGGAACTTGGCCAGGAGGAACTTGGCCAAGAGGAACTTGGCCAGGAGGAACTTGGCCAGGAGGAACTTGGCCAGGAGGAACTTGCTCTGGCTCGACTATATCATCAATATTTCTAATTTCATTACTTATCGATGTGGTGGCATGGCCATTTTCCATCAGCAGGAGGTTCTTCCCTATTTGGCCCTTTTGGACTAGTTCAATCGGGAACCTATAATTGTTCCGGTGGACATCTTTAGTGTGCCCCATGAACTCACAAACTTTTTCGAGGTACCCACTGTCCCCATGAATGGCCGTTTTTGTGGCCAAGTGGTGTCGTAAGCCTGTTGCAGTGTAGTGCTCACTTTTCTTCAGCGTACATAAAGCACGTACATCACTGATAATATCACTGCCAGTGAATGGTTTCGCTCCAAGAACTCTTGGAAATAAGTAAGGGCTTTCTTCAAGGCCTAATGTCTTGCGACACTCAATAATGAGATCTATGTTTAATTTCATTTGTTTTGTGAGAAGAGTAGGGACTGATTTTAAATTTTTGCCAACAACCAGGAAAACACTCAAGACATCAGCACTCTCTAATTCTTCTTTAGATAACTGTGCAAGGGCATCCTGCGGTATATCATCGGGGGGAGGCCTGTCTACATATGATTTCAGAGATGCTAAGGCAATCTCTCCGGATCTTCTCCTATTAAATGTGATACAATGAGCAATGGTTACTTTTAGTAAATTTTCATAGTTTACAGGTGAAGGGCTTTGTTTAACCTTATTATAATAAATAATTTCTAATTCTTTGAGTTTATTCCCAACAGTTATCACATCATCATCATGCGGCATTATTACAGGTTTCGTACATTTATTCACCAATTTAGTTTTTCGAGAATTTGTGGATATTATGTATTTCCACTTATTTCTAAGTATCAACAAAAAATCATTTATATTTGTCTTACGATTCTCCAATTCTTCCTTGGGTAAGCTTACATTGTTACATACAGCTTCAAAGACACATTTTGCACATTCTTGAATGATCCAAGATAGTCTATCCCCCATTCCAATGATCCCCACTTTTCCTGTTTCGAAATCATACTTGGCAAGGACTCTCACAGCTTTGGTAAGGACATCAATGTGTTTGGGATGAAAAATATCTGCAAATTCCTTTATTTCTTCACTTGCAGCTCGGCACTGTTTTAAGAGATTTGCCCCATCTCGCAGTTTCCTGCTAACTTGGTATTGGTCTTTATCTTCAGAGTGTGTCTCATAAAATAAGGAAACTGCCATTCTTAAAGTACGATCGTTCATTGCGATCAGATACAGATCATCCTTCTGCATAGTTGGAAATATGGCAGTTTGAAGTTTTTCTGTGGTTGCCTCTAAGTTGGGGAATATAATCTCCCCAAAGTCCCTTTGAACGGGGACTCTTTTAGAGATGCCGAACCCTATTTTGAGTGTCTCATCAGTGTCTCCTTCTAAATTGACGTCCCATTTGGATAGGAACTGTTCCCGAATGTCCTGTGGAATTTCAGAACAAACTTTGACATGTCTGTAGAAAGATTTTTTAGCCAACAGTAAATCGCAGTATTTACACTTTAAATACTGACTCACATTGGTGAAGGCGGCTTTGGTTCGGCGAGCTGGTAAAAATTTTTCGCAATCGGTGGAATTTTTATTGTATTCTGCGTTCCACTGTCTTCTAAGTTTATCTGTATACTGAGTTCGCAGTCGTTTTTGGACTTTCAGGTCTGGATGCGTAATATTTATGTAAGTTTTTGCCTCGGTTGACAATTTATGTGTCTGCTTCAAATGACGAGAGAAGGTTGTCACTGTTTTCTTACAAAGAAGACAGTAGTTTACTCTATCCCATTCTCGTTTATAATTGGGATTTTTCACCCTATTATTTCTACCCCTTACAGTCTTAACTTTCAGTTGAGTGGCAGGTTCACGTTCAGGTTGGGGATCTGGTTCGGGTTCATAATTTGAATCGGGTTCATAATCTGGATCTCTCAAATCTAAAAAGAAACACATATTACAGGAAAAGTATTAGTAATCAGTATGTAATTGATAAACTAAGAGTGGCATTGAAGTTTAACCGAAAAAATAGTTATGCTGTCAAGATGAAATCAGACAAAAGTGGTATAGGTAACTTCAAAGATGTTAACATTAGGTTACAAAAGATTATGTAAAACTTGCTTACTTGCTCACCATGTTTGACAGCTCTGTTTCATCTCAGCCTGTGAAGCATTATCAGCGCTGACAAGTAAGTTTTCACTAATCCTTTGGGACATTCTTGTGTGGTCTCTGTGGTGATTCCTTTCCTCTTTTGCGTTAACGTTAAAATAGAAATTAGAATTGTCACACCATAGCACAATATTTTTTTATCGTCATTGGCTAGTATCAACCCATCACAGTAATTACTTTAAGAATGTTTTATTCAGTCAATATCTCTGTTTTGTTTTTCTACTGTCATAACCTTCTTACACTTTTATTTTTTGTCAGTTGTTGGCTGATCTTAATAAATATTTGGTTTTTCGGTTCCTATCCTTCTTCTTTTGAAACCTTCTAAGTATGCATTGTGGTAATTTCTTAAATTGAGATTCTATTGCGGTACAATTTTTCAACTTTATTTCCTGAATATGAGTGGGTTATAGTCCAAAATGCGTTGAATGACTGAAAAATAACTGATCCATTCAAAAAAAAAAAGAGATAGTTTATGGTGTGACAATTTTCTACCTTATTATATTTTTCCATGACACGCAAAATAAGATTCAATGGTTGCATAATGCTAGATTAGAACGGAAATCTCAATGGGGATAAAAATCCTCCGCATCTAAGAAATACTATGTAGATTGAAGCATAAATCAGGGGGCTGAGCCAATGATGATGTATAAAAGCAAGTCTCAAAATGCACCTACAGTTGCTTTCTCGATGATCATGCTATAGTCTGAGAAATTAAATCAGACAGAGTAAATAAAAGATAATTTTTGGGTGCACAGAGAATTGCAACTTCTGATTTTGGCGAAAATCTACTAACTTAGAGTCAGGCTCATCATCGCATTGTTTCCATTGTGTCCATCCAGCCTGCCCTGCTGACCCGTCCCTTGCACTCTGCGTCTGCTTACTGACCATAAAAAATTTACCGACCAATTTTGTGTACCCTCAAAATCTGTTCTTATTTTCACAGATCTAAATTCAGCTTTCAATTTTGATGAAAAATATGCATAATTATGGATAAGTACATTGATGAGTTATTGAATCACGAAACTCAAAAATTTCTTCACGTACTTTTCAAAGAAATTCGCCAGTTTGGAGGTACAGTAACTTTACAAAACATCGAGCTGAATTCGAATTGGTGGAAATAAAGGAAGCTTTTAAAGTTAAAAAATGGTTTTGCGGCCAGCAGCCAGAGTGCAGGGGACGGGCACGTTGTGTGAACACAATGGATACAATACTGCCGTGCTAAGAAAGAACGCCATATGAACATTCGCGAGTTGCCAAATTTCCTCCGATAAAATGTTTAATTTGGAGGAAAATTGTGAATATTTTTCTTTGAAATTTTCAGACACTTTAGATCAAATTACAAACAAAATTATCTAAGAAATTGGCAGAAAAATGTTCAAAAATTTTCCTGAAAACTAGTGATTTGTCAGAGGAAATTTGGCAACGCCTGAAGGTTCATATAGCGTTTTTCCTTAGCACGGCAGAATACCACAATAGGCCTGGTTCTAGGGTAACAGGCCCTTACTGTAACCAGAAATTGCAATTCTCTGCGCGCTCAAAAATGCTCTTTTATTTCTTCTGTCTGATCTAATTGCCCAGAATTCTGTGTTACTACAGACAGCTTATCTTTAAGAAGAATGTTTTTACTAAAATGTTGCTGTTGAGCTTTTCCCTCAGTAACAGAAATTCTGTGCAATTGAAAATATCACTGAAGACGTTCTTAGATGGCACATCAAGTTGCTTGTCAGGCTACCTCATGAGCCTCCTGATGGCCCACTCAATGAGCTCTCTATCAGAGCGCTTGTTATCCACACTTAGAGTTTGTTCGGTGGAGGCCTTGTCAATCAGCCTGCAGGGCCGGACAAGCGGCTTGACGCGCTGTCTGAGCGCATTTCAATAGCTAAGATATAAAGTCAACACTCTGGTCTATGAGAAGGTAAATGTTTCAGCTTTTTAACAAATAATTAGGTCTTTAAAAATTAGATCTACTAAGCGGCTCAAAAATGTTATTTTTAGCATAAGACTGAAAACAAAAGTACATTAGAGCACAATTTTCCTGCAGAGGCTTCTTTTTTTTGGTGAAACACTAGTAATTACCAATGAAGAAGGCAACCTTGGACATGTATTAGGACTCCATCATGAGCACAGATCAGCATCCTGATTTTCAGTTTCAAACCTCAGAGACATCATGAAAGCTATGCTAAAGTTTGGGCAAGCAGCTGTAGCTGCAAGAACTTACCACCATCTAGTAGTCTATTATTCAAACAGCACCACTGAAGTCCTAGCAAGGCAGCGTTGCCAATATTTCTGTGGGACAATTGGACTTCATTTTGCAAGTAGGAACTACAAAATCAGGCTCAGTTTTGGAACAACGAATGAACCATTAGTTTCCCCATGCACATCAGTGGTTTTACAGATGAGCCAGAAATTGTAGTTCCTAATTGCAAAATGTATTCCAAATGTGCTTAAATCAGCTTTTTCCCGCTCATAATGAGCATTTAAATGAAAAATGACAAAATCAGCATCTCTCAGGCCAAAAAAAGGTTTGTAAGGTGGAATCTGAACCGGACACCTCATTAACCCTTATCTAGGGCCTTACCGTCTTGCCACTCAAGACAGGCGAATAAATAATGCTGCTATCTCGCTTTTTAGGCAAAGCTTTCGATGCCCTGCTGATGCAAGAATACTATGACTTTGATACTATCTCAAAATGGTTCAGCATTGGCGACTAGAAAAAAATGTCCTCATTTTTGCTTATTCCATCTCAATGACAAATTTGAAAAAAAAAAAAAAAAAAAAAAAAAAAACTTTGATCAGTATTCTACTTTGTGGACTCAATAGAAATGAGTCAAATCTCATTTTTTAAAAACTTGACTTTTCAGCGATTTTGAGGTGGACTAAGATCTTACATTTTCCTGCCGAAATTTCAAAGCCCTTGACAGATGTCTAATATCATTCACATGGACTAAAACTTAATTTTTTGTGATAAGTTTTAAGCAAGTAGAGAAAATAAACTTATTCTTCTGTTTGAAGTGTATGGCTTGATTCCTTTCTATTGAGTTCAGTGCAATTTCGCAATTCTTTGAATGTAGATAATAACTTTTGTAAAGGAACTCACCGTCAACATTTTGAGAGGGACTGTCTATAAAATCATAAATTTGGCCAGCAAAATTAGAGGCATCTTCAACACAGTGAGAAGCAGACACACATGGCTGGTTTACATCTTGATCTTCTCCCTGAGAGCAACATAAAAAAAACAAAAAATTTTTGAACCGATAAAAAATTACCTCCATAGTCAATTCGTGCAGCAAACACGATCACATATTTTCAAGTGGGTATTTTTGCTTTCATTCTCTATGATCGGAAATGGATATTTACTTTCAATTTTTGAAACGACCAATTTACTTCAGACATTTTTCTAATAAAAGCTCTATAGACTATTACCCTTTAGATTTTCAATTTTTTCAACTGATGCAGAAATATTTCTCTGATTAAAAATAGAGACTTCTTGCCTAGAAAAAAAGGCCCACATGGGTGAAAAAATCGAATATCATTCCAAAAAATTAAGAATGAAGTGTTTTTTGGCGATGAATGAGTCTTCTCGAATACTGAGCTCACTAAAATTTCAACAATGATTTTCCAAATAAGTTTTTTTGGGTTGAGGCATAATTTTTTGAAAAATCGATTTACAGGTAGGTTAATAAAGAATAAATTGCTGTGCAACCAAGAGGAACTTTCCCCATCCATCAGCCCCCTCATCACTGACGTCTTTTTTGTACCAATTTATTTTTTCACTTATACATTGACACCATAGTGATTTTTTCAGTTTGGAAAAATCTGAGCCAGTGGATTGCACAGCTGGTAAGTTTTAAATGAAATGACCCATTAGTAAAAATGGTGATGTGTTCGTCTCTAACTTTCAATTAAGGTGATTCGATGGACGCCATATTTTGTGTCAGAACGGCATGCGATATATCGCATCAATTGGTTCCAATTTTTCAGCTACTCGTCATTTTTCCCCAATTTTGAGATCGCAATTCTGTCGTCAGGAGACTTAAGCACTCACTCACCAATTTGAACAAAGAAATTCAACGTAATAAAGGCGTGGTTTTTTTAGAGAGAAGACACAGCATTCGATACTGATATCGAAACTGCACTCGAATGCGATATTTCCCCCCTTAAAAAAAACGACGCCTTTATTACGTTGAATTTCTTTCTTGAAATTGGTAAGTGGGTGATTTAGTCTCCTGACAACAGAATTGCGATCTCAAAATTGGAGAAAAATGACGAGTAGCTGAAGAAATGGAACCAATTGATG